AGCACTTACTACTCATGGGAGGCCAGGTTTAGGAGCATAAAAATCCCTTACAAAAGACATTTCAGTCGCAGGTTTTCATGAGAGGTAGCTGGACAATAACACAAATTCATGCATGTCTACGTATTGCAAGAAATGTATGCTTTCGATGACCATTAGTTGTGGTGAGCCACTGGTTTTTGCATTATGCAGTTTCGGTCTCAGAAGCGCGCCACCTGCCGACACTGTAAAGCCAGTGTCTCAAGCAGCGACGGATCTACTCCGTCGTACACATATTTGCAGATGTCAAAATAACAGCGATTAATAAGTCAACTCGCGTAGTCAGTAACACACCATGGCCATGGCCTAGAAAACCCAACATTGAGTCTATGTGCGTTGAGTGTCATGTCTTCAGATCGCACCAAACAGTTCGGACATGAATGTGGCCGAAAACGTGATCCCAGCGTACAGTGGCAAGACCTCGCTACGTCGTTTAGAGGCAGAATTGCACTGTTGAAATGTGTGGCGGAATTGCATCCTGCTGGGATTGGCCTTCCTTTGGATTTGCGTCTTGCAATAAACACAAGTCATGCGCGTCAACAAACCAAGTGATGCACTTTCGCCTTCGTTCAAATACTCCCCATCAATTTGCACGGAGCGGAAATTCCCTCGGAGCACCATGCGCCACCTCAGGCGAGAGTGAGTGTGTGAGCAAACTAGGAAGGACGCAAGCGAGATGACGCCATGGATGGCACACGGATTCACACACGAACGCCCAAACACCGTCGACCGAATGCCCAACTACCGTCCTATTGTAGGAGCACCATAGCCGATAGAGGCGTGGAGCATCGCTCACGGATTTATCAGGAAACAATTGGTTAAACGGCTAAATCGAATTTCGCCCTCCAACAATTCAAGCGGTGAAGAATGCGGAAGAGACATCAACATGACGGAGCCAACGACAAGTGGATACGCTAATGAAGACTTGCCTGATGACAACTTCGGTAGTTGCTAACCAACACACGCCGAGCAAGCGAAGAACGATGGGGTGTAGACAGAGGGCTCAAAATCGAGACAAAATAGCGAGCAGGCGGGCGGTAGGAGGCAGATGTTTGTGACACGTGCAAGCAAGACGGCAAAAAACGCAGCGCCGGAGCTTCAGAGTCCGTACTGACTATTTAGGCGATTTCGCAGCATCGGAGGACATTGGGACCAAAATTTGCCCCAAGCTTCCTCCCCAACTTCTGCTTTGAAACCACTCAGGATCTACACAATGGATTAAGAACGCTGATTTAAGGCATGAGAATGTCACCATTCCTGTTGGCTTTCACGGAATCGAAGTGCTTTTCCAGCTTGTCATCATGGTGACTTGCTCCCGCTGAGTTGCATTCAAGGCATTCTAACTCCATATACGGGGAGCGCCCCCCACCTACAAGCAAGGCTCCTCTTCTCGGTGTTGACAGAGGCATCCGCATGGCTAGGAACTACTAACTTGAACTTCAGAGCATGGGGAAGCTTACAATAGCACGGTCATGCACAAATTCGAAACCCAAACCGAACCACGCCACAGATTAGCTAATTTAAATGACTTTAATCATGCCAAATGCCTTGGCGGGAAATTGAAGCACAGCGTGAGATACCTTGAACTAAGAAATAAAGGGACTCACAGAAAAAAATTTCTGTTTGAGATCCTCTTTGGGGCTGTTCCAGGAGGCAACTGCGTCGCAGAAAAATAGGAAATCGTTCGCCACACCCTGTGGGTTTAGAGTTATCACGTTGCAAATGCCTCTGAATGCACTGTCCTTTTCCTCGTTGTCCCGAATGTTGCGCAGAGACAAACACCTGTAAACAAATTAAAGCTAACTACGTTGGTGTTGCAATACACTACGTTCGATTGGCTCGGCCATTTTTAACAGGCTATGCAACTCATACCAGGTAGTCAAAGGTGTAAGGTTTTCAATGATCGCAAAAAGGAAATCACCTTCGATCAAAATCAAAAACTCACGAAATATAAGTCGTACGAAGAACAACTTTCCTGCATACATCCTCCAAGGAATCATTCATGTTCTGTTGACTCATCTCTTGCAGCAGTTGTGAAATCTAGGCCTTACCCATATAATTATTGACACGATGTGCGATGAAAATTTCCAAGTATATTTATTCAAAATATTAACACTGACAGTTCTGACAGCTGAGTAAATCTGCGGTTGGTTTACAGGCCAAATCCCTGAATAAGAGTGGAATAAAACAAAGGTCATGTACATGTCGAATGGTGACGTTGGATTTACTGAATTATGCTTCCAGAAGGGTAATTTTTTTAAAAATGTGGTTTTAGACTAAATGGTCTTTAATTGATTCGTTTTTAAAGCAAAAGATTTTGTTTTTTAGTCGATCCAAAATGTTAGGCTACCTCATGTGACCAAAAAGCTAACAATGGTAAATTCTGCCTAAAAGACCTCTAAACTGAAACGAGCCTAATTTCTCATGTAAAAATAGAGGCAAGTGCAGAAACTCATGTACAAAATCGTGTAAATTACATCTAGGTCATGAGAAACTAATTTTACGAATTAGCTTAAATATATGTCCGCTAACGTGTCAGAAATAAAGCTGTTTGCGCCAACACAAAGTCACGTGACTTCGGCGTTCACCAAACAGGAGATCTGATGTGTTTGGACTAATGAGTCAGCAGGGGACAGATCTTGTGGCCAAAATCGATGAAAGAGGCAATCTTGGTGAATTTAAATGACTAGTGGTAGAGAGTCTAAGTAATGAATTCATCAACGTTCAAAACGAATTTTAATCGATCTTCGTGTTAGTTAAAAGGTCAAATACATTACAGATCCACATTTCAATATCCTTGGTAAGCTCAAAGTTGATAACCTCAAAATCTAATTCTACAAGGCTCAAAGTCTAGTTATACAACTGCATTAAAAAAACACCAGCTGTACAATTTGGATTTCACTTACCAAAAGTCTAAGATATCGTATAAAAGGAAGTGAGCGTCTTAACCATTTGACGAAAGTCGTGGTCGGTTTCAACTGGTTAATTGAGTGTTTACCAAAAACTTAATATTCAGACCCTTAACATAAAAAATTGATTATATTCACAATGCAGCATCGCTTGTGTCTTGGGCATTCCTGCGTATCCATTTTTTCAATGCAACCATCTCAAGAAGAAGCAGAGGAAAATAAATTAAGAAGTTTGTCTAATCTACTAGACTACAAATAACATGATTTAAATAGTGTTAAAGGCAAAGTCTATCTCCTCAAAAACTTTACTGGTACAGTAATAGGCATGATGTGGCGTATATTGCTGGAATTTTTCGTAATTTATTGTAAACCAGCTATTATAATCGGTTACCCATGACTTCTAGTTGCCAATTCTAATTAATTTTTCTGTTAATTTCATTAAGCCAGTGACCACATAGAAATGGAATCCCGTCACTTTTAGTTTGATTTACTTGGTAGATGATAAACTTAGTTCGCATCCTCACGTCATATTGAGAGGCATATCGTGGATATTTGTAAAATGATACATTATACATTAATATTTCGTCCAGTCATAAGTAAATTCAAGAGAAACTAGAACACGTGGACAATAAACGAGGTTAGAGATAATAAAAGATGCAGTTCGTCTCGATCAATTACATAATAAGGACGCTTAACTAAAATTGATCACTGTCCAAACAGATCGAGCATTAGTTGGCAAAACAGGGTGTGGTTATAATAGAAACCGGATCTTGGTTAACTATGTGAGACCTACTAGCTCTTTTACTGCAGTTATACTCTACATTTTACCATAAACGAGGATACCTCGACTCATCCTGTGCAAAAAAAATACAGAACCACTTGTAACGATAGGCTGGGCAACAATGGTCATTCCCGTTTGAATCTGATTTTCTTTTGTCGAATAAAGCTTATTTTTGGGCTTTACAAACCTTAGTAAGCATTCAAGCTACCCTCTTTGTTGCGTAAAAACCCTCACTAGGAAATTTTAGCTCTTAATTCGTCGTTTGTGAACAACTTTAAAAAAAAACTATTCACGAAGTTCGAAATCAAAAGCTCATTAACTTTAAGATATATGTAAATTTGGTTTTTGAAGCCTCGTGCAAAGAATGTTTAGGATATAAGTTTTTTCTCAAGATTTCCTGACAGATAACAATAAATAAACCGCCTTAGCTTTGTCTTAAGGAAGTAAGCAGCATCTGTATTCTACCACAGAGTCATAATAGAACTAATCAGATTGGAAGACACAGTCAAGTTCTGTATTATTTAATTTTCATATCTGCGAGAGTAGTTTTGCTTCCAATTTTTCGTCGTACTTTGGTTTCAAGTTAGCGATTTGTTTCACAGTTCGATGTTGGAATAGGAATGTCAACTAACCTCAAAGAAAAATTCCTTAAGTTGAATCAGCTTGTGCATGATTACACCTAAAACGACTGCAAGGCAGTCGCAGGTGAATTAGTATATCGTCCTTTGTTTGGCCTAATGTATAGCTTCAACACACTTCTAATACAGCACAGTTTCCCCCCTCTGTAAATGATGTCAATTTTTCGTAAATCAAATATGGTGGGCACGTTGAATAACTGCAAACTAATCATAAATGATAAAATATAACCAAAGACATCAGTTATTTGAAATATCACACACACAGACTGATGCGAGAACTCAGGGCAAGATGCTCAACGTCGAGAAAGCGTTGCTTGAAGTCTTATGCAGATACGATTCTCAAAAGGGGCAATTTTCCTTTGAGACCCATTGAAATCCATCCGAATTTCTCACCATCGAGGGGTAACACCAAGCACACAAACACGCACACACACACACGCACACACACCGCAGTGAGCAGTGGTTGGAAGATCGAAGCCAATCAAATTTTGCCGTGTTAAATTTCACCTCGCACCCGAATATCATAGTGGAAACAGTTCAGACAGGCTTAGTTCACTTTTTGTGTTCGAGAAAGCACCATCCGAATCAATGTACCGGTCTCACCAACTTGAGCAAATTCACCAAGGCCTTTTCGAAATGAATACCCGAATAGATACGTTGAAAGGTGTAAATGGTACTCGTTTGGCCTCCGAAAGCCGATACTTTCTGCATCATCGCATCCCAGACCATCTTAAAGTGTCCCATAGCCAGGAGCCTTCCAAAGGAAATCTTCACGAGCCATCAAAGACGGAGTCGAAATTGCCGAGGATAGGTAGCTCTCTTGATGAAATGAAAGCTGACAAACCAGTTGGACTGAGACTAGTTAAATCGAGCTTCGACTTTATGCTGCATTCTATGATGTCTGGCGGGTGGCTTTACATTTCTGAAACTGTTAACCTCGACGTGAATGGTCATAAAATGATACAAGCTACGTGCTCCAAGTACTGGGGAAGATGCGAGGCCTGCCGACAAACTGTGCACTCAACCAAGTACTTCTACTGTAAGAATTGCCCTGTCGTATGTCACAAGTCAAAAGTTTGTTGGGACAACTTTAAGAGGGTTTGTCCGGCAAGTGACACAAAGATATCCGGCTGGGGTGAAAGTAAGAATAGCATTGCTTTTGGTTTTAATGAATAATATTTAAAGCCATGTATTTTTATATTTCAAATTTACAACAAAAAATTTCCAGCGGAAGTTTGATTCATTACTGTCAGGTTGTACAGCAGTTATAAAATTAGTTAATTTTTCCAATTAGACAAACATGATATGTTATTGTGAGCGATAGAAGCTAGATGTTTTGCTTAGGTGTATATTTAAAGCGATGGAACCCATTACTAATTCTTTTACAGTTTAATCCAAATGTTATTTCAGTAAGAATTTAAGAATATTTATGAATAGACATTAATGAGTGTGGCACAAAATGCTAAATGCCGTCAATTAGGAAGTTTTCATAACGATGTTGGGAACCAGCCGTCTGAGGGCGTTATTTATTTAGCCACTTTCAAATCACTGTTCCCGTAGGAGGACAATTAAAAACTTTTGCGATTCCAAAATGACGCCATCCTTTTGTATGTGTGGTATAATACTATCTTTCCTGTTTAAAAGTGCGCAAAAACCTTTCAATACCTTTGTTTAAAATATCACATTTCCTCTTATGTGCCCTTAATCGACGAGATCTCAAACGCAACAGAGTCATTTCTTAGTCGTATTGTTAAAGTCTAGATGGCAAAGCTTCTCAAGGTATTTTGATAGGGATTACTGAGGGACGTAATTCCTCGACCGTTTTAATAATGGATTGGATCACATGATGTGATGACATCCACAATGCTCAGATTGCGTTAGATAACTGATCGTGATTACAGTACTCTTGTTCGATCATATTTGAGCCTGTATTAAAACCCCTAAATTAACTCAATTTCGCTGCACAAATTTAAAAAAAAATAAACACAATTGCCGTGTGTAGTTTGGCTTAGGTCATATCATGTGGGTTCGTAACACTTTCCAATGGCCCTTCCTTTGGTAAATTGTAGAACCATTTGTGAAGAAACCAATGTATTTATGGTAACAATGCATCCAAAGGCAGCTATGTAAGTTAAGCGTTCAAGCATCCCTAGGAATCACCCAAAGAGAAGTTAAATATTTTTTTTGCAAATATATATATCAGTCTGACTTTTGTGGGGTAGGTGCTTGTATAACTTCCACTATTAGCAATGCACACTAAAAGGAGTTAGTAAGCGTTTCGGGCCAAACGTTCAGACCTCAGGCTCGGCCATTTCACTGCGACATACTTCAGGTCAATTTTCTAATCATTGGAGTTGTTGTACATTTTAACTGAAGGTGGCTGCCCTCAAAGTGGTTGGAAGCTTGAATTATGGCTAACCTTACTGTAAATTGTTATTTGCTTTCAAGGTACTGCGCCGCCAAAGAAACTAAGGCGTCCTCATCTCGACGTTCAATACGTCTACCTCGGCGGATCAGTGAGCACTCAGGAGAACGGATGTGCGGAGTGTGGCCGTGTTCTCCAAGCAAATATGGGTTACATGTGCGGTGAGGCTGGACGGAAAACAGAGGATGGCGACACTAAGTCAGACACCAAGTGGGGACGTCTGCGCAACTTCATACGCAGAACTTTTAGAAGTCGGGACAAGAAAGCCAGCAGACCTAGACCGGAGGTCCAGGAGGCCAAGAAGGTACTTTTGTGTCACTTGACTAGGAAACAGTACTGCGAAAACTGCCACTGGGGAGACACATGGTACATTCCAGGGAACATGTTTCTGCTCAACGATTTTGAACGACATCCGGTAAGTGCATAGTTATATCGTCGCTTGTCGAAGGGGCATCACTTCGTTTTAAATGTCTTAGCAACAACGTTTGCATTGGTAATTATTCCTGTTTTTAGTCACACAAATAAGCTAGTGTTACCAGATTTTTTGACCGATTTAGTCTGATCCACTGTTACAAGTCAGCGTTAGCTTTAAACCTTGGCTAAAAATCATTGATTGATGTAAAGCGGGCATTTGTTTAGGCGACGCGTTTAGCACCTTCTAAATGCCTCGGCATCAGTTGTGTGCGCACGCTCGACGTGCGTTGTTTCTAGCACGAGCAGCTGACGTGGGACTAGAAAAGACCTGTGCACCGTCAAAGTACTCAGCAAACGGTCAGTTGAACCGTATTTGCATTACCCGTTCAGAACCCCGAATGGCCATCGGTAAAAAAGCTACAACCGGTTCGGAGCGTATTTACACCTTTAAATATGCCTCTGCGTAGCCTCGACTCACCGTCTGTGCAGGTTAAAATACTAATTTACTTAGGCATCCAAAAATGGTATTGAGAGAAATTTTACTTGATTTGTTACAGAGTAATGTTGGGGCCTTTGTATAATGAATAATCGAGGTGTAAAAAAATTACAGCAGTTATTGAAGTACTCTTCATTGAAACTATTTTTCCTGAGGCCAAACATTTTTCACAAGGCAATCAGGGGATTCGTTCTGCTCGATTAAAGGTCACTTTTCCATGATTTACGCTGTTCTTATTTCAATCTCTTTTGTTAAAAAGCGTCATGGCACTAAATTCGTATTTTTCAAATCGTCAGGTGCTTTTTTGGAATATTATAATACTACGCTAGTGGCTCTACGGGAAATAAATCCAGTAATGGCGTTTCTTACGTCTCATCCAATCTGCTTTTTTTTTAAATTAACCTTATTCTTGATGACAAATAGAATTTATTTATATCAGTTTATCTGTCAACTTGGTACAATATTGTATAATTCTTTCTGGGTGCACCCAAACCCCTTTGCCTTCAGGCACCCATGCACAGAAGCCGTTCAACGAGAAGCTATGACGGTGTTTAAAAAAACTCTTGAATAACTCATTCGCCAACGTTAAGCCTTGGCATTACACCAGTGCTACGGAAAAACAGTGCTACAGAACGAATTATTGCTGACCGTCAAGCCGATGGATTTCTCCTGAGCATTGAAGTATTTCTTACGATTCTACATTTCCTCAAAATGGCCGTGTTGTAAAATTTGGCTTATCCATGAAAACGTATGCACTTTTTCTCCGAATTTAGCTTAGCATTTCACTAGAAGCAGCCGTTTTCATGATCATCGCGAGTTTACTGGTAATTAATGGAAACTGACGCTCAATGTAACAGAAATCAGGATTTGAACTAAATTTCATTGTATCATAGTAATGAATAGAACTCTTCAGAACTTTGAATGCTAAGCACCTTAGGACAGGCCATTCTCTCAATCTATGTAGCCAGGCGCTACGACTATATTCCTGTATTTGTTTTGCTTCAGTTTACTTGGTTGAACAGATCTATCTGAACAGTAACCTCGAATTTTCACAAAAACATGATAACGACTAAATTATTCGTGTTCTTCGAAACAAACAGTCGCTATCCTTCTCGAGAAGTTAAAGCTGCAGTCTTATTGGATGTCAATAACTTTGTAAGATGAGGCGTTCATGGTTTTCTTTTCGAAAAGGCACTTTGCAGGAAAACATTGACACTTGGAAAAGGTGGCTGACGATTCAACAATTAGATTTCTCTTGCATTTACAGCTGGGTTTGCTAGGGTGTTTTGTACGTGGAGCATCAGAAAATACATGGGTGCACAATTTTTCTCAAATTACTCTTGTGTTTCACTGACCTTGTGAGAATGCTAAAGCTAGTTATTTAAACATCACAAAGAGGTTTATTAGACATAAGCTAATATCTCTGAAACTTCTCGTTTGAGGCTTTTTACGCATTAAGCTCAGTTCCTGGTTGCTTACGGATTCTGTTCGGCTTATAATAGCATTATTATGGGTCACACAAGGTATTACGTCACTGGCGGTTTAAAAATCTCTAATAATCCCTACAAAACCCATAATTCCTGCACAGTCACCAAACTTAGTTGCCATCTACAGCACTAAACTTTTGCATGGTTTAAATATACATCCTTGTTTATTGACTACCTTTAAATATTTTGATCAAAAATAACTTTCTAGTGATGATGCGTGTCCTAGATAATACTTCAAAATAGCGCATTGTTATGGTCTAAAATTGTGTTAACAAATAAACCTAAACGATGAACAACTCCCTTAACTTCAGTTCTTTGTGCCTTTTGGTGAGTAATTTAGTAAAATGGGGGTAAATCTTCACTCTCAGTGACCCGAACCATCTTGTAGTGGCACTTTGACAGCCTAATTTATATTGAGCAATTTTATTGTTGCCTTTGTTTTTTCTTACCCCCTTAAGTGCCCTTAAAAATCCCTCCATCTCAGATAGCCCTCAAAATTTTAGCCGAGAAAACAACGAAATGTCGTAGTAAATTTTGCTTCAGTTTTTGAAATTCGACCTCCCCATCTTTGCAATCAAAAAATCCTTTCTGGTATTTAACACATATTTCAAATAATCAGGTTAATAGCTGATTTTACACCATTTGAGGGAAGTTTTTACATAATGACTTTACGGCTCAGATTACATTAATGGTGTTTCCACTTTTACTCATTTAAGCCGGATCGTCGTTTACTGATACAATTTACTACCTGCTTTTTTGCTTTTACATGCCCAACGTCACCATTTTTGCATGCATTTTAACCCATGCTGCAGAAGCCTGACATGCTGATGTTTTCTCGAACATGCGCATTCTGGTATTGCAGTAAATCATGATTTAGACTGCGTGTTGATGTTCTTTATCTTTTTCGCTACGTGCCTTCTAAGGAAAACCCGACTGACAGCTCTAAAACTGCTTGAATCACAATCTCAATTTTGGGCTTCGAGAAACTTTGACCAAACTAGGCCTCTCATTTGTTTTTTTTATTATAAATATTAATGAATTAGTTAATACTCTGCTTGTTTTTAGCACATAGAATGGGTCCAATTTGTGCGTGAAAATAAATCAGAAATCAGTAGATTTGATCGTATGATCAATTTGTCGGCTCTTTAAGGAGATGTTGGTCATTTATTTTTATCACTCCATTGGAAAGACTATTTCTCCCATCTAAAGCAATGCGGCTGGCACCAGTACTTTTCGGTTAGATTAAAACCAATAAAAAATCCGAGCTAATTTTGCTTAGTTCGCAAAGTACCTAATATTGCTTAAATAACAATACGATTTTTTACAAGTAACCGCTTCGTTTGGGTTTCATAACAGAAGCGTATACTTTTTGTTACTTACAATTTCCAACGCTCGAATGTTCCAATGTAACAACAGGTTGTCGTGGTGAGAATGCGTTCAAGCTTTATTGGTACTCAGTATGTCTGGGATCAAGAATTTAAGGTATGACAGTTTTATTTAGCACCTGAATATTCGAGTGGTATTTCGTTCTGTTCAGTGGAAATAAGACATCATGATGTCTGAAACACTAAGTTAAACAAGTTTCCATGTAACATGCGAATTGGAGTAACGAGGCGGTCATTAATCGCATTCGTGTGGCCTCTTGTAATTGATGAGGATGTTATTGGCACTAAATAGCGGGCCAAAACAATGTGCTCCCTGTCTTGTATTGTAAAACCTCGAAAATTATTGACACGTCTGACAAGTATGATAAGCAAGATCTAAACGGGCTCCGTCGAGACCTAGAAAGTAATAAGGGATTTTTTTCCAGTTAAATGCCTCCAAATGAACTACTAGAAAGAGTAGAAATTATTGCTTACAATTATTTACAAAGTCGAAGAAAAATCCTACTTATTTGTGCATACGAGCCCGTTCGCGTCAATGTCCATACTTTGTATTGCCCTTTGGATAGGTTAACATGGGTATGAGACTGAGGCCCATTTATTTCTTATCGGCTTCGAACAGATTGAGGACCTTCTGGGCCGAAGCGCTTTTATGAATATTTTGAATCTCAGTCGCTTACAATAAACGACAATGACGGTATACATGATTGTTCTGTGATTTGTTGACCTGACTTGAACTTTGGTTATTTTCGACAGGTGTCACGATCGGCTTATTTGAAACTTCGAGTTCTGTGGGACACGGAGATAATTAAGACTCCATCGTATTGGCACAAAGACAACGAAAAGGCACTCAAGGTCTTCCAGATAAGAAAAAAATTGAAAGCAATGTCAGCATACTTTAGCGTCTGTGACGACGCCCAAGCTATCAAAGAAGTCGTAGATGTGAGTCCCGCTTAATATGTATGCTATTAATAATGTCAAACTTACAACCTGGTGGCGCCTTTAGAGTTCGGCTAATTCCTGAATTCAAAAGACCCGTGTACCTCTGGCTCAACAATAACATTTGAACCAAGCTATGGCTTGCAAAACTGAATAGAATATATAGAGCTGCGTCAAAGATTAATCAAGATGAATCTTCTTTAAGTACCTTATTTAAGAAAGCGGTTATTTCTGTTATTTTAATGAAGTGAACGCATGCAATGTAGCACACCCCAAGCTTTTTAGTAATTTTGCATTACCTGGGTTTTTGAGTCAAAACCTGATATATGGAAAACACTAACAGAAATTTGTGATGAGCTGAGAATAAAATAGTTAAATTTCGAATTAAGATCAGTCAAAGGCTTGACAGGATAATTAGAACCCAACACGACAAACAAAAAAGATAGCTTCACCGCATAAACTAATGGTTTGAAATTTTTGCATTATTTATGTCGTAAGTATCTCTTGTTGAAAAATCTTCTCATTACGTTATACAGAATCCTCAAATTCATCATCTCTTTGACAATCCCATATTGCTTCGAATGACTGACGTTGTTAACATCGTCAACGAAACACTTTATCCTCGTCTCGAGAAGTCCTTTCAACTCATTGACCGACACATAAAAAATTGCAGGGTATGCTTGATTTTGCATTAACACTTATAGCAAACATTTTGCATTTGATACTTTTCAAGGCAAACTAAACTGCCTGTAAACGGTTCTGCTTGAAAACCTAAAAGCAGGTGATAAAAATGCCACACAACTGTAACATGCAAGAAAAGAAGAAAATGTTCTCAATACTGTCGACAAACTTTGTTTCTGTTATCTGCGTTTTAAATGCAGTTAGTGAATAACCAGAAGAGACTTAAAAGAAAGCTGCTTAGGTTATAACCAAACCTTGTATTGGACTCAGTGAATGTAGCTCTTTTACTGGCGTTTCATGCTGCGTTTCCATTCTTGCTTTGTTATTTGGATATTCAGAAAGTAAGTGTGTTTGGGTTTCGTATTTCTCTTGACCAGTTACAATGAATGCCTATTATATATCCCAAACGCTGAACTAAACAATTTTTTACCACCTAATTATAGTCAACCTCGCTCCAGTGATGTGATACCCCTTCATATGGATTCGAAGCCTTAATTTTTAAGTCATCGAATTTGGCTAGAATTTAAGCTTTGCCTCAGTCAATAGAGAGTGTATATCTCCTGAAGAATAGCTTTGTTTGCAATGTTCCATCGAAGAAGTCAGTAAACGATTCTCCCGCATTCAATTTGACATATATCATCAAAAATTGCCAATCCACTTCAGATTCTGAAAGACATTGGTGGCCAGAGTGTTTTAACCACTACGAAATTGTCAACACACAATCGCAAATAGTATTAGAATCTAACTGATATGGCAAGTTCGTAAAAGGCTATTTTGAAAATCAGAATCTCGAATCTAAGACTAATATGCATGGCAATCAAAATGTTGAATTTTATCTACTGAAGGTTGAAATTCCAATATATTTGGAATGTAAATAAGCTAGGAAACATGCAGAGATGGGTTTTAACAATTATAATATCAAAGCTTTACATTTTAGAAATGTGTACGGATTAATCGTAGGTGTTGCGTGTGTAGACACGGCCGCCCGCTATTTCACTACGATGACGGAGTCGGTGTTTGCCAAAGATGTAAGAGTCCTTATCACTTGTAAGTTTTTGTGAGTTTTCTAACACCTCATATTTCATGAGCTACTGGGTCCAAACACATTATCCCAAATGCCATTTAAACTCTGATGTGCAAGCAAAGGGACTGATAAAGTATGTACATGTAAAGGGATGCTTGATATTAATTGGTGCTCACCGTTCGAACCAGAATCCAGGCGGGAAATCTGGTGTTTATGTGGGCTCGTAGTGTGGTGAACGTGCCAGTTTAAAAGAGCTGTGTACGACAACACATGACCTGTTGATAAAAGTTCCTCAATAAATTTTAATGAATGGATGTTGCCATTTATGACAGTTTATTCGTGCAGGAAATACACTTTTAAACTCGTTACGAACGCGCCTGCCGTCACTTGGTTTTTAACAAAGTCCGTGAGTTGTGCAAAAGGCTGACTTAAATAAAAAAACATGAGATTGTAAAGCAACATACTGTACTCTGTTACACAAACGTGGGCTGAACACATAATGTCAACTACACCTGATTACAATTTTAGTTAACCATTAAAGTTCGACCAGAAGATAAGGTGAAAGAAAACATCAAATGAAGAAACCCGACCTGTTGACACAACCAGTTGGTCGGTTGAGAAAAAGGTGCCTGGATGGCGTTATGCTACATCGAGCGTCGTTTCTGATGAGTTACCGAGACATTTTTTGAAATATAAGATGTAACTATGAACTGACAATGTATTGGAACACACGTTGACTTCTGCATACCTCCCGGCTTCAGAAGTCTTCGCTTGCAGACCTTTAGGCGAAATTGTATTTGTTTTGATTATATCGTTTTATTATAAATAGCAAAAGTGCACGTGTAAATAGCTCTAGTCTTCAGACTATTAATTTCACAATTTGTGGCCACTGTTATGTCAAAATTGTTAACAAAATGTACTTCAAATGGTCCTGAAATTTAACGCCTCCATACTAAACAAGTGCTTTTGTGTTAAAACTATATTTCTGTTGTTTACGACATTTTCTTCTTAAATGTACAGGTCTTGCATTGGGAGCCGGAATCTGGTTCACAGCTGCTAATGCAGTTGCAATGCATGGAAATATTTCCTTGATGGACTTGGACTTTGTGTTTTTTGTTTCAATAAAATGCCTCCAGAGCTTCGGGGTTTTATTGCAAACAATTTATACTGCAGACACAGTTTTGCTGAAATGGTAGTACGGAGACCTACTTTCCTTGAGGATTCACATTTGCTGAATAATTTATGAAAATAATGTGCATGGCTGCAATTACAAGAGGCTGGTAGGTCTTTCCCATCATTTTGACCAAAAAACATCGAATAAAAGGTTTCTAGTGTTATGTTACCAAGATGAATTGATGCTGTAAATTTAACTTTTTAAAGCAAAAATTAGCTTCCTGTATTTAAATAAAAACAATTCGTTTGCACTTAAAACCGCTCACATTACAGCTTATGCTCAAACTTGCAAAAATTTTGAAAACATCCAAAACCGAAAACAGTTAAATAGCAAAGCAAAGTTGCAATAAAAGTTTATTAAGCAGTTGGTTTTAATTAAATAAACTCGAAAGTGAACGCTAAACTGTAAATCGAGTATTTCTTATGTATGATTCAAGTTAATGCGGTTGTTAGTCCTATGTACAAAAATTATCAAAATGTGTGAAGAATACATAGCACTCAGTTTCCAAAAAGATGTCCTTGGTTTCAACTAATACCTCGTATGTAGATGTTTACATAGCGTAACAACCGGTAAGTGAACTTTGGGGCTGCCCAATTTGCTTTGCATTCTTCTTCATTAAAGAACTTACACAGTTTTCGAATATTGCATCTGTCAAATGATTAAGGGTTGTGTTTAAATGCCAAAATGTCTAATTTTTTTCTTAGTAACCGATGAATGACACAGGTAAATGCTGGCCGTGTGAAAACGAATGAATATTTGAGTAGGTTCTACTTCATTTTTGAATGAACCTGTTTTAATGAAGAATGTACAAATTTATTTGACGGCTTTCATCATCAGGTAAGTAAGAACATTATTTTCCATCGTAAGTGGTGGGTCTTTATGCAAATACAATTTATGCTAGCCAACGAATACGTGACAGTTGATGCCAATTTGAGCTGAAGTTCACCAATCTAACCCCAGTGGCATCTGATCACTGCCACTCAGTGTCATTGACTTGTTATTCTGGCAATTCCCGAGCGAAGGTTTGGGAGCTTTAGTTTACCACAAATTTCCGCTTCACTTTGGAACTGTCTAAATCAGTACATTCTGAGAAGATTTTGCACAATCAGACTGATTTCCCTCGAACGTGACAATTAGCACTAAATTGCTCTTTCTTGGTAGAAACAGCTAGCGTCGAAAAAAGCGAGTAATGCGACTACTTCAATGAGTAGTGCACCACATCTTTACATCTTGACGTTCTTATCGCGGAAATCCAAACAAGGCGGCTGGATTACACTTTCTTGACGGAAAGTTATTTACCTTAATTGGTTAACAAGTGTAAGTGTGGCAACATTTTGCGCCCCTCTTCACGAAACGAATTTACGACAGGAGGATTGTAACTGCAGTGCACAATCAAGTCAATATCATGGACCTTAAGCCTCTAGTAGCTAGCAGTAGGAGAGTTAAACAGAATAAGACCTCTTTGCCTTTACTATATATTTCCATTTTATTCTGTTATTAGCCCATAGCAGGCTGCCTTTTGTATCTTCACGTCCACTTACATCCAATTTAATAGGTTACCTGTGTTCAACATCACTATGAGGTGATCGTACACCATTGCACCATAACAACCTCAGTTATCTAAGTTAGAATTCCATTGATGCCGCTGACTATCCCCGATTTGTTTCTCACACTCACTCCGTGGCACCTGGATTGTTGCTGATACTACCCGACGCGAAACCAAGTGCCCAGAGAAGAAAAAAATATCAATTTCAACAGAGACTCAACTGTTTTTCAGGCCACTGCATCGATGTGTGTTCTTTCATGTTTATTTCTGCGTGTTTTTAAGTCGTTTGGATGAAGGGCTTGGAGCGTGAGTCAGTGGGTGATAACATGGGGATTTTTTACGCGTTAGTCGACGTTGGGGTTCATCGGGGAGGGCGCAGATTTAGGGCTAAGCGGATCAACGGGGGTCCGGGGGGGTGGGTGAGTAAACATCGAAAGCTGTCATGCATGATTTGTGGTGACGCTTGTTAATTCACAACAATGTCTGTCTTACTATCAGCCGCAGTTCACGATTTAAGCAGTAATAACATTAGTCATTAAGCTCTCTAATGCCACCAGGTCTTAACAAAACCAATAATCAGCTGCATCTATACA